CATTTTTAAAATGTGGGCAGTGTAAGCTAGGATAGGTGTCCTTAGTCCCACACACACAAATCTGAAGGACTGCAAGCTCCTAGCTGAATCAGGAGTCATCTGAATCAGAGGTTATGATCCTAACCAGTTAATGGCTTTGGGCTGAGAGGACAAGGGGAATTTCAGTACTGCAGACACCGCTTTTTGGCTTTGAATATTTACAGGCTGCATTTAAATTTTTTTTTTGTCAAATATATATCTTTACTGAATAGTTTCCACAGAGACAGATGAGATTGTGCCTGCCTGCTTCCTGCTTTGTGCACCTTGGGAGAAAGAAAACCCCAAAACCGTCAATTCTTTTGTAAACAGCTTGATGACTTGTGCAAATATACCAAAGAGTACCTCCAAGTCTCTGCCTCATATCTAACTGCTACTTCATAGCACCAGGGATACAAGCTCTAATCTGTATTCCATCTTTTGTACATTACTTAATGCTTCTTAAAAGAACAAAAAAAAAATAGCAAGTTTCCCATGGAAGAAACAAGGGTGGGATCAAATTCTATAGATCTGTATAATACATGCAATACAAGATGCATGCATTAGGTGTATACATCAGAGCAAAGGGTGTGTATAATAGGATAAAGCTATAAAACAAGGCTCATTTGGTAATTGATGCTTCATTTTAATTTACATGTCTCTCTTGCTTTTTTTTTTTTTTTTTTTTTTTAAGATCAAGGGACATTTATTTTGTTACTTATTTCAGCAAAGATTCCAGACGTCTAGATTTAGCTGAAGCTACAGGTCCAATTTAAAATCCTAGAATTATGCTCCAGAACATGGGAAATAATGACAATTGTTCCAGAGGCTGAGTAGGTTATGCTCCTGTCCTAAAACTGTAAGGTCACGCACAAACGCATCCATATACACGAGATTAAAATCCCCAATAAATACAATTTATTAAGATTTGTTCTTTGCATTCTACCAAAGAGGCAACAGCACTCAGAAGCGTTCAGTTTCAAAACTGTAGAATTTCTCAGTGCTGTCTCCAACAATTCTTGAAACGGCACAGCAGCCCCCCCCCCCCCCCCCCCCCCCAAAAAAAAAAAAAAGTAGTCGATGATCTCTTCTCTCCCCAATGAATGTGTGATGTGATTGCCAGGAATCTCACAACCCCTTGTGTACGGGGTCGCATTCAAAAACACCAGCTCTATCCACCATCCAGATTGCTCTCGCCCCATTTTGCAAGGCATTGATGTTCCTCTGGCTGCACGGGATCCATAGGTCCACCCTGTTTAGACAAAGCCTATGACTTGTAACCCCACTAATCCCGGAATAAACTCAAAGCTAGGGCTTGTTCCGCAACGCTTTTATGCGTGGAAGAGATCGTGGCGAATATTTACACCCCGATCATTGGGCCCTTGTACAGGGTGCAACGGCAGCTCTCTGCCCCCCCCCCCCCCCGCCCAATACTGCAAATAATTCGTGCTGGAGGGGAGGGCGGCTCGATCCCCATAACTTCCTTTGTACCGCTCATCAATCCTCACCGCTTTCGTGCCAAGATTCAAACTTCCCTTCACTTTGGAAATGCTTGCTTTGCTTCTCCTCCTCCTCCTCTCCGTTCCTCTTTTTTAAATGGCAAATTTGTGATAGGCTACTTTTGACTTCTTCAGTCGTTAGGGACAGCCCCCGTTCTGGTCCCGGCCGCCCCCCCCTGCCCCCCCCCCCCCCCATTTCTCTTGAGCTTCTCCATAAAAGTGAGAAAGTTAAGTTTAACCACAGTCGCCGCTTGGTTCGTTAGTAATTACGAACAGTGCTGTTCCCGAAAAGGGGAGCTGGTCGTCGAGCGAGGCTGGCTTTACAACGACAACAGCGGGATTATAGCAAGGAAATGGAGCATGGAGCAACCCAGCGTGACGCTTTTCGCTCCTTGACATGTTTACCATTTTCCGCGCATATATTACAGCTAGGCTGGAAGGCGGCGGCGAAGGCGAAAAGGCAAACGGATCTCTCTTGGTGGGGCTTCCCCCAATGGCAGAGGAGAAACCCAGGAAGCAGTTTGCGCCTCAGAGGATCGCAGTGTGTCTCTGGCTCCGCGTATCGCGGGGGAGGGGGATAGAGGAGGGGGTGTTGGCTTGCGCTTTGACTCGTACATTAAACGTTTAATCTATCCAAGTGAATACCTTCACGTGTGCAGTAGTGAAATAGTTTCCTTGTACTGGTTCCCCCTCCCCCAAGAATGGGATCCGACAGAGATTGTATTTATAGGGATGGCACTGGGGCATGTAGATTCATTATTTTCCCCCTCCCGAGGAAATATTATATTTTGAAACGCTGGTTGAAGCAGCGCCCTTTTAAAGTTGTAGCAACGTTTCGGCAGAATCCCATCTGCCATCATCAGGCTTCTGTATTGTGTTGTTTGTGAGTCAGACTTTCACAGCCATGAAACACTATACAGAAGCCTGATGATGGCAGATGAGATTCTGCCGAAACGTTGCTACAACTTTAAAAGCACAACTATAATGAGGTGGGAAAATACCCGAACAAAGCTGAATACCATACATATACATATACATATACATATACATATACATATACATATACATATACATACATATATATTGCAGTTTTAAACTTCTATTGTAAGCCGCCCAGAGTAACGGTCTCTGTGAGGTGGGCTGCATAGAAATTTAATAAATAAACGGTAGGCAGTGAAATAGACGGGCCCGTAATCTTGCCTACCTATGAGTCAGATTTGATGGTTTCATATGAGGGAGGGGTGCTGCTTCAACGAGCGTTTCAAAATATATTTCCTCGGGAGCGGGAAAATTATGAATCTACATGCCCTAGCTACATATAAATAAAAAGATTAAAAGGTAAGAACCAAGACTTCGGATATTTGATTAGTCTTACCCTTTCAGGCCACTTACTCCTCAGTAGCTTGGAGTGCCTTCTTAGCATCCCCAGCTATGTTAGTCTGTCCTCTCAGCACACAGACAATTTGGGGAAGGTGCTCTAAATTTTCAGCACATCTCTACTACCATTTAAAAAAACAAAAGCTTCTTCCACTCCCCCTCCTGCCACAAACACTGCAAGGAACTAGAATTGATCTATAATTCTAGATTATAAAGAGTTCAATTTGGTTAGTAAGCCTGTGGAAGAGGTTGGGAAGTAATGGGCAGAAATGTGCATGGTTTATTAGAGCTTGATGTCTTCTTGGGCGTGCAAACTCCAGATTTACTTGAGTTTGTCTGTCACAAAAGGAGCCTTCTTCGCACTTCGCCCATCCCTTGATACTTCTGACTAGCTGGAAGAAACTCAGCTCAGCCACTTTCTGTAAGCAACCAAACCAGGGGGAAAGGACACAGGGATACACGCCCTGTTACTTGCGTGAAAAACCACAGCTGCAATCCTATGCCAGCTCCTTTCAGAGTAAATGCCATTAAAGGGACTGCGATTTATTTTTTTGAGGACATAAGTATCTCAAAATGGCACGTTAGAACTGTGTCTGCTCCTTTTTCACACTGAGTGGATGGAAGATAAAATGCTCTAGTTTCCGGGTTCACCTGCAGTGAACCCGAAAAGGCAGACTTAACTTCACTTCCGTCTCAACAGTTTTAGGTTTAAACCAGAGGCCTCCAAACTTGGCAACTTTAAGACTTGTGGACTTCAACTCCCGGAATTCTCCAGCCAGCTATGAGAGTTGAAGTTCCCAAGTCTTAAAAGTTGCCAAATTTGGGGCCTCCTGGTTTAAACAGTTCCGATCCCGATGGTTAGATGAAGCCGATTATATCTGGGCTACAGAATACCGGAACTCTACGAGAAAATAAAGAAAACGCGAACTCTAGGCTGCCCACTAGCGATCATTCAGATTTTGACAACACAGATTAATGTAGCTCTAGAGTTAAGTATTCCTTATTGACCCGGAAGGTGGCAACCTTCCTACTGGCCGCAGGCGGCAATTACGCCCTCGGGCTGTTAATGCCACCCTAGGAGTAAGCTTCTCATTCGCTTATGCGGAGGTCATCGCCGAGTCCCATATTTCAACGCTAGTTTCAGGAGCTTTCTTTAAAACCCTGGGGGGAGTGAATAAATAGCAAGTCTTAAGACACTCAGTTTCCCTGGGCGTGTTGATTTGCCCGCGGCCTCGGGATGAGGAGCTGGGATGCCTTTAAAGCTTCGCTGCCTCCCCCTGTCAGTCATCCACATAACATTATTTCCCCCTAAAGCCAGTTCCAGCGGTAACTCCACTTGGCCGGGAATAATTGCACCCTTGCCGCATCCAGAACGATTAAACCATCCAGCCTATTGTTATTGCTTACGAGAGTAACGGCGATATGCCACTACCTTCAAAAGCCCTGCACTGTCTGAAGGAACCCACCTGGGCCAGGGCAAATATTCAGGGTCATCCTCCATCCTTCCACGAGAGACCCTTCCCTCGCTCATAGATCAGATAGGGGCATCCCCAAAGCGAACCTCTCCAAATGAGAGTAATTAGGACTGCAGAAAAAACAATTACTACCAACCTGCCTTCAATCGAGGCCCTCTATACTGCACGAGTCAAAAAGAGGGCTGTGAAAATATTTACAGACCCCTCACATCCCAGACATAAACTATTTCAACTCCTTCCCTCAAAACAATGCTATAGAGCACTGCACAACAGAACAACTAGATACAAGAACAATTTTCCCCCCAAAGCCATCACTCTGCTAAACAAATAATTCCCTCAACACTGTTCAGCTATTTACAAAGTGTACACTACTATTACTATTAATCTTCTCATCACTCCTTATCACCCATCCCCCTCCCACTTGTGACTGTATGATTGTATCCTTACTATTTATATTGACTGTTTCCTAGTATGATTTGATTGCTTATTGTACCCAGTGACTATCATTAAGTGTTGTACTTTATGATTCTTGACTCTTGATGAATGTATCTTTTCCTTTATGTATACTGAGAGCATTTCCACAAAGACAAATTCCTTGTGTGTCCAATCACATTTGACCAATAAAGAATTCTATTCTATTCTATTATTCTATTCTATTCTATTCTATTCTATTCTATTCTATTCTATTCTATTCTATTGCACCATGTAAGGGCGTATGGAGGTTGCAGCCTAAGTATCTCACCCCAATCCAAGGCTGGAAGGGCTGCCCCACACCTAACTCATTCCGTGAAGGGGGTCCCGATCTATAGTTCCATACAATCAATGTAGAATCTGAGCTGGAGAAGGGGAATGGGGGGGGGGGGGCGGTGGATAAATTATCCCAGGATAGAAGCAGCACATGACCTGGCAGAGATAATTGCAAGAAAAAAAAGCTTGAGTGGAGAACCAATTCTCCCGCTTAAGTCAGATTAGTTCTCCCTTAAACACATACAATTAGTTTAAGGGAATTAGTTACTTATTAACGGCTCGTGAGGGTGCAGGGCTGGAAAACATGCTTACTCAGAAGTAAGCTCCATTGGAAACTATGTGAAGCCAATTCAGGTAAAGGCTGGCAGGAGTCGCTTTCTTTTTTCACACTCTGAATAGGTGAAGCTACTAATACCCCTTTTCTCTCTCTGCAAACTTCCTTCCACAAGCTATGCAAACATATATATCTGCGATCGGGGTCTGATACCACACCAAGCCGGGGCTTAACTTACCCACCCACTGAAGTAAGGTTGCCTGACTTCACACAATACCTAAACCACCAGCTATGTTTTTTTTTTTACAGGCCACCAAGACGGGATTTGCATAAACTATTAAACCCAAAGGAAACACCCTTCAGGCAGGGGGAAGCCGCCCTAGAACTATCCGCCCCCAACCCGTCGCGGTCAGCTTTGGCTCAGGGGTTTGGGTGCCTCTCTTTCTGGGCGCAGCCTTTAGCCCCCCTCGCCGAGCCTCCCGCCTTAATACGGTAGCAACGAGAGTTCCGAATGATTCTTTAATGTCTCGTTGGATTTCTCGCCTGCTAATGTAGCGCGTCCCTCTCATTATTACTTTATTGATTGCTCATTGACCAGCCCCCCTCCAAATCGTATTAACCCTCCCCCTCGCCACTTTAGATTAAGAGAAGGGTGGGTGTCTTCCTCCCCCAAGACAGAGCCATTCGCTCTTCTGCTCCAGCCCGGTGGCCAGGGATCAGCTCAGGTGCTCTGCCGGGGGGGGGGCGGCTTTCCTGGCAGGGCCGCCCCGAGCCGAGGAGGCAAGCTCGCCGCCTGGTGCCTTAATAGCTCAAAGGGGGCTAATGCAGAAAATGAGCCTTTAAACGAGCTCTGGAGATCTCCAAATGAAAGCGCCGTTTATCACGCTGGCTACCTCCCCTCCATTCGTTTGCTCTCCCTACTGGGAACAACTCATTTCCCCTTAACTAAATTACTTCAGAAATGTCAAGGAAGCCCGGATCGCAAACATCACCAGACCGGGAGGGGTCATGGAGGGAGGGGGTGAAGAGAGGGCTGCGCAGCCGCGTCATATTGCATCTCAACCTGGTAGCGATGCAGAAAATAAGAGTCAATGAATCCACCTTTTTTTGAGAGAGAGAGGGGGGGGGGGATGGATGGAGAAGGAGGGAGAGAGAGAGAGAGAGACCCTAAGAGAAGTCCGCAAGACCAAGTCTTAAAACACAGAAAAATCAGTGTCATTTAGCATGGATTTATTAGGAAAGAGGGCCCTGTATTTTTATGTATCCGCTGTAAATTATGACTAGGGCGAGGCAGGAATAAAGTTCTAAATAGCTGGATTTTGGATGCCACGGGAAAAGGCATTTTTTTATTTTGCAGTAGAATGCAGGAAATTAGTATTTCGATCCGAATCTCCTGTTCTTTCATGTGTAAGTGCCCCGCCGTACTTAGTGGCTGGGTTCACGCAATACGATACCAAACCGCATTGGCTTAACTAAAACCCAACGAAGTAAACGTTTTGGAACCAAATTACCACGCTGTTCATTGTGGCTCAGCAAATTGTGCAAACCAGGCAAAATAATTATTATTGCTGGCGATGGTAGGAGATCTTAAGATTGTGACTGGGGGAGACTCTCGGCCATGATTTGGGTCAATCCCATTTTCTCAGCTATCTTACCTCGCAGGGCTGTTGTCTGAAGCGAAATAGATCTTGTCCTGGGCTCAGTTATAAGAGCATGCTAAAGACAATACTAAACACCACCACTGAGGTTTGTTAACCATGATTAATAGGACTCTTTGTGCCAAGGCAGCCACGAGTGAGCTGTCCCTCTTGAAATGGAGTTTGTGCTTGAGAGGTTTTTGGTGTGTGATGGCTGGTAGAATGTAAGGTATATTGAACTACTGTTGCTCAGTCCGATTACAGGACAGGTTGCTATCTTACACTTTTACTTGAATCTTAACCCGGTTAGCTGTATATCTCTAATTTGGGAGACAAGAAGGGAAGAAGTGGATAAACGGAAGAGGACGAAAGGAAAGGGGTGGGGACTGTTAAAATGTAGAAAAGGTGACGTGGGAGAGAAAGGAGGGGCACACATTGAGGCCAAAGAAGCATTTTTTTAAAAAGACAGATATGGCCATTTCTTAGAGGCCCCAGTGCTCATAAAAACAAGGGTCAGTCTAAAGGATGGGTTATTTGTATTAATAATTTACCTCTTTAGTGTATCTTGGTCACAAGGATGTTTTTGTGCTAGGAAAATAGGGAGAGGTCTGGGTAACAGAGGATCCAACCCCCATTCTCCATGGATTCAGCGGATGAGAGAGACAAGAAGCCATCGGAGGCATCTTAGTAAGGATGCTCCACTTCGTGGTTAGCAAACGCCCAACAACGAAACCACCGTAAATTAGCCAAGGTACTTTAGCCAAATATATCGTGCAAACCTGAACATAGTTAATTAATTAGACAAGTTAACGGTCCAGTTGACCAAGTCGAAGTCCCCCGACCTGATATTTAGTGGACAATAGAGCCTGGTAGGTGGTATTCTAGCGTCGGGGTGACGGAAGTTCTCAAGCTAGAGAAGGAGTTACCTTCCCAGGAGGTATTCTAAAGAATAGTTAATACATTTCAAGACGAGGATAATAAACTTACTCACCTGGAAATTAACCCCGGGGGCTTTCAGTGAAACAGATGTCCGAGAAACACTCTATTCCTAGACTATTTATTCCAAAATAAGCTCCACGAAGGCCATTTCTTCACTCGTGATTTATAGCATTATCCACCCATCGCGGGGCCGACATAATAATGAAGGCACGCTTCTGTGGCCACACCGATAGTTAGGGCGATGCTATAAATCAGTTCTAAGAAAATGCCTCAAGGCCCATTTTCCAATCCTAAACACCCTTAGCGTTTCATGGGTGAAGACACTTCGGATTGCGTACCTAAGATTGAATTGTGGAGCAGATGAGCAAAAATCAGTTTCAAGCCGATTTCTTTCTTTTTTTTTAATGTCAAGTTTTTATTTTATTTTATATTAGTTTCAAGCTAATTTCTGAAGGCTTTATTCGAAAATTTCTGATTTCTGAAGGCTTTATTAGGATAGCAAGCAGCATCTGGGTGACATCGCCGCTGGTTCTCCCCATGCTGCTTCGTGCCCAACTCTCATTTACTTAAGGATCTGAAAAGAATGGAGCTACGGTACTTATGTCCAGCGTTCCTGAATTGGTGTATTTATTTTCCAAATTCTGCCTCGCCGTTCCAGAACAACGCCCCTTATTAAGCAGGCGTTTCTATGAACTCTCCTGGAAGGTTGATTTCCAAATTGACTGGCGAGAAAACTAGATCCCAAGTTAAGCCTGAGGAGATCAATGGGATCTTACGACAGGTGGCCCCCGTAAGCAGAGCGAGTTGCCCGGCGCGGATTTTGGCCCCAGACTAAACCCAGCCGGATCCCAAACCTCTGGAGCAGGGGGTCCCCAAACTTGGCAACTTTTAAGACTTGTGGACTTCAACTGCCAGCATAGCTGGCTGGAGAATTCTGGGAGTTGAAGTCCACAAGTCTTAAAAGTTGCCAAGTTTGGGGACCTCTGCAGTCTGGGGGCATCCAGGTCAGCTTGCGGAGCATGCGAACGCCCCACGCGTGAGACAAGGCAAGTTTCTAATTCCACCCGAGGGCCGAAAGAACCGGGGTGGGGGGGAGGAAAACACTCGAACTGGCCCAAACCCCGAGAGCTGCTTGATTTGTTCTCCAACAAGGCATTCTAGGTGAAGAAAAGTCCCAATAGTTTGGATCCGGTTGTTCCTATTGGTGGGGTGAGCACAGAGATAACCAGGAATGAGCTTTCACGCTTCTCGGGGAGACCAGCTGAATTGCAGCGCTGCCTTTCTGCTGCTAATTAAAAGCTCACTCTTTCCCTCCTCCAGCAGCTTTGCTCAGGGAGGGGGTGGGGGCGTGTCTCCCTCCGAGCCTGTCAAAAGAAATTCAAAACGGGGAGGAGGGGGCACGAAGCAGCTGCAATACGCCCAAAATGAGTTATTGTAATTACATTTAATTAGTTTAATTAGTTAATTATTTTGCTTACAGCTGTACAAGAGATTGCAAACATTTGTTAAGATCGCGTTCCCTCTACTAGAGTGGGGCGAAGCCGCACACTTACACTAAATCACGCATGTCTGTGTAGACAAATGGAGGGGGGAATCCCACTCTCCTCGCCTTTTCCTCCTCGCCTTTTCCTCCCCTCAATTCTGGCCCACAAGTCCTGGGCGGCTAAAAAAAAAAAAAAAATCCAACATCCCACCAAGGAAGACCAATGCCTCCCACCATCCCGCGCCTGCTTACACAGAAGAGATTGTACCCTTACAAGCAGTGATGGGATTCAAATAATTTAACGATCTCTGCCCTACTGATTTCTTCCAACAACCAGTTCACCAAACTGCTCAGATAGTGAACAACCGGTTCTCCCAAACTGGTGCGAATTGGCTAAATCCCACCACTGCTTACAACCCTAACTGTACCCCTAAGTGCAGCCTTCTGCTGTGGGCGCGTGGATCAGATCTTTTCTACCTAGATATAGGTCCATAAGCACAAGAGAGAGGTGGGAAATCAAATGAAAGGTTTTTCTGTGAGTGCTAAGAATACCTTTTCTTTCTTTCTC